GCTGCACGGGCGGCCACCAACGCCATGCTCAGCCGGCTCTCCTCTGAGCTCATCATGGGCCGCGCAGGCTACCAGTTTATAGCTGGAGACTTCAACCACACAGACCTCCCTGAGCTCCTTCTCTGGCGGCAAGCAGGGTGGATTGAAATTCAGGACCTTCAGGAAAGTCTCACGGGCCAGTCTCCCCAACCTACATACCGGGGCATTTCCAGGCCCGACAGGATCTATCTGTCGCCGGAGCTGGCCGCTACCTTCCGCTCCTGCCACTTCCAACAAGCCTTTGCTGATCATGGAGCACTCTGGGGAGAGTTTCTTCTACCTGATACCACAGAGTCCTTGTGGACCTGGCCTTTGCCTGCTCGCATACCTTGGGAGCAAGTGGACCTACCCAGCTACTACGACCAAGCCGATGACCCACCACCACTCAACAAGGCAGACCTCACCCAGAGCTACGGACAAACCTGTGCAGCTCTGGAATCCAGCGTTCATCAACACTTACTTGCCCACCAACGCCAAGGTCTACCTTCTGCCTCTAGTGGCCGGGGACAACGCCTTCAACCTATCCGCCTTCAGCGGCAGGCTCCCACAGCCCGTCCCAGTCGGCAAGGAGAAGTCCAAGCCTCTTCAGATCTACTTGGCCGATCCGTTCTCCGTCATTTCAAGCAGCTTCGACGCTTGCAAAGCCTACTACATGCTCTGCGAGCTGGAGGGCGGGACATTCATCACCAGATCTACCAGCTCGACACCTGGACCGCGATCAAAACAGCAACCGGCTTCCACCCCGATTTCCTTCAGTGGTGGCCAACCAGAAAGCACCGCCTACAAGGCAGTCCAGAACACCTACCACACCACATCCCCAACCTCTCCATGCTGGAGCAGATTTACACCGACTTCTACAACAACTTTCGTTCCTTCGAGAGTTGGAACATTCGGCAACGAGCAAAATGTACTCGTGCGAAAGTGCAGCAGTGCCAGCACCTTGCCTTTCGCTGTATCCAGCCCGTTTCCAAACCTGCCATGGACTGGCTCCACTCCCATGATGAAGCTACCATCCTGGCCGTCTCTGAAGACGGCGCTCGCATTTTGGTCGACTCAGAGCTTGAAGCTGCCCCAATTGCCACCTGGCACGTTGATGGAGTGCCGGCCACTGTCATCGCCCACTCTGGTACTACCTTTGAGGTCGACACGGACCTTATCTTGGTCCCTGGGCAGACGCTTCAATGTGAACGGCACCTCACGCAAGAAGAGCAACTCCATCAAGAACTCCATACGTCCTGGAAGGCAAGGTGGAACACTCTCCAAGAAGTCCCCGCTGAAGCATGGAGTCGCATCACTGCCTTCATTCGTGCCTACATCCCACCTGGAACCTTGCGGCTCCCTTCACTGCAACTCCAGAATTGGACGGCAGCCCTTCATCGTTTCAAGGACTACTCCGCTCGCGGCGCTGACGGCCTGGGACATGCGGATCTTCGCCTTATGCCAGACAACTACAAGGAATCCTTCCTCCACATCTTTCAGGCGGTTGAACATGGTCACGCCTGGCCGAAACAACTCCTACTGGGCCTTTGCAAGGGTCTGGCCAAAACCCCGGAGGCTTCAACCGTTGACCACTTCCGCCCCATTGTGGTCATGAGTATGCTTTACCGAGCTTGGTCCAGCACACGAGCCCGTTAGATTCTGCGCCAACTTGGAGACCAACTGGACCTTCCTACTTATGGCTTTCTGCCGCATCGCGAAATTCGACAAGCCTGGCTTCCCATCCAAGCCATGATCGAATTGTGCGGCCAAGAAGATCGTCCACTGCTGGGGTATGTCAGCGACATCCGCAAGGCGTTCAATCATTTGCCACGTCGACATGTTCAGGCCCTAGCCCATCATGCTGGACTACCGAGATCCTTTACCAAGGCATGGCATGACCTATTGAGCAGCTTTGAACGTCACTTTCAAGTCAGGGATACCGTCGGGGCTCCCCTTCAGTCAAACAATGGCTACCCTGAAGGATGCGCACTGAGCTGTGTAGCGATGACCTTCATCAGCATGGCCCTTCACCGTTATCAGGCCGTGTACGCCCCGGCATCTGTATGCATTTCCTTTGTCGACAACATCGAGCAGATTGCGCTCACCCTGGGAGACCTGCTCACCTCGATCATCACACAGGAATCTTTCCTCGAGCTCTTCCAGCTGTCCATCGACAAGGACAAAACGTATGCTTGGGCGCTACAACCCAAAGACCGTCGGGCTCTACAATCACTCCACCACAGAGTCTCTGTCCAGGAGCGCGACCTTGGTGGCCTCATGACCTACGGCAAGCGCCGGAGAACCTCATTTCATGACCAAATCATTGCGGGAGTACGTCCATGCTGGCAGCAATTACGGAACTCCAACATGCACGGCCACAACAAGATCTTGGTTGTCTACCAAGCCCTTTGGCCACGGATCTTTCATTCAGCTTGCATTTCCGACCTGGGTACTGCGCATATTCAGCAATTGCGCTCCGCAGCCGTCAAGGCCTTGGGCCACGGCAAGGCTGGTGCCAATCCGGGTATTCGGCTGGGATTGTTGCATACCACAACATTGCTGGACCCGGGCTTCTACCAGCTTTGGACTGTTCTTCAAGACTTTCGCAGAGTCGTGACTAAGATGCCATCCCTGTTGGACACCTGGAGTGAGTTTATGGCAGGATTCACCGGAAATCTGGGAGCTGGACCATTCTCAACGTTGCTACGTCAACTCGGTCCTATTGGATGGCGCATCGAACTACCTCCTCTCCTCATCGACCACGATGACGTACTGCACAATCTTTTGGACATTTCCAATGCGGGTTTGCGCAGCCTCTTGGAGGACGCATGGCACCAGCTCATCGCACGCGGAGTCGCTCACCGTCCAGATTTTGCTGGACTCCATGGGGTTGATCATGCGCTTTGTCAACATTCAGTTCGGACCCTTTCTGCTTTGGAGACGGCTCGGGTCAATGCCCTTCGAGAAGGATCATTTTACACCTCCGCCCAACAGAGCAAGTATGACAACCTCAACTCAGGCCTTTGCTGTGGGGTGCCTGATACAGCCGCTCACCGTTGCCTATCTTGCAATGCACTCCGCCATGTTCATGATCGACATCCTGAGGCGCTTCAACTCTGGCATGAAGTGCCGCATTGCGTGCGAGAACACCTTCTACCCCCTCGCAATCCTCTTTTCCGGCAGGTCAAAACTTTGCTTCATGCCCTTCCAATCACGGGAGAATATTTTGAGTTCTTGGCAAATCCAGGCGAAGAGGTGCACATTTTTACAGACGGTTCTTGCAGTATTGAGCCACTGCCGGACCTACGCCTTGCAGGATGGTCTGTCATCTCAGCTACACATGGCCGTCCCATTTGTTGCGATGCCCTAGCAGGTATGCCACAAACCATCAACCGCGCCGAGCTCACCGCCGTGGTTACTGCAGCACAGTGGGTCCGCAAATGTGGAGCAACCGGCTTTGTGTGGACCGACTCGGCATATGTTGCGCGTGGCACATGGCGCCTTCAGGCCGATTCCAGTGATTCACCCGGATCAAAGCAGGATTTGTGGCGGTTGCTACGTCATGAACTGGATGAGCTTCCAGCCCGGCTTTTTGTGCGGCGCATTCCTGGCCATCAAGATCCGACGCAGTGTGACGATCCGGTTGCCTCGTGGTCCAGTCACTGGAACGACCAGGCTGACCTTGCGGCTAAAGCCGCCAACAATCACCGCTCCACTGACTTCCAGGCCCTGTGGGATGCTTTCACTGCAGCCCAACACCACATGGAAGCCTCTCTGGGTAAACTTCAGAGGCTGCACCTGGATATTGCAGAAGCAACCCAACGCCGTCAACCCGCTGGAGATGAAGATGAGGATGACCCCTCGACTACTGAAATGGGCCCCGTTGTACACAGAGCCATCGCATGCGCAGATTGGGTGGCACAGATTCCACCTAACTTTGCGCATTGCGCACAGGGGCATGAATTCACCAAGCGATTCGGGCTGGGTTTCACCGCCAAGGTCGCTGCATGGCTCATCACTGAGCACCAACAAGCTGAGCATCCCATCCATCTTTCCTGGTTGGAACTTGTTTTCGCCCTGAAGCATGACCATGTGCCCTTCCCGGTTTTGGTGTCCTCTCAACAAGGGGAGCTCTGGAAAGATGCCTCAGCCTTTTCGTCTTACGCCCGAACCCAATCAACGGTTGCTGGCGACTTGAGGGTTGTTCGTTCCTTCTTTCGCCTTTTTGGTTCCCTGTGCAATTGGGACATCGGGGAAATCCGCGGTCTCAACTTGAGCCGCCTTCGGGTGGGACCATCGCAGAATGGTCTTTCCATTTCCGTTTCTCGGCGGGCGCTTCCGGGTCTTGAGGCCGCCCTGCTCTGTTTTACGGCCGCGCGGCCTATTCGCACGACAAATGACCTGGCCCGTCCACAGTGATGGGTTGACTGAACCTGCGCGCCGCACTGCACTCTGCCGTGCGCGCGCCCCAGACAGTGCGAATGTTACCCAGGATTTGTGGTGATGCTAGGGATGTTGGTCGGACATGCGGGGGATGTTGAAAGCGATGCTGGGGATGTTGACGGGCTAATGTAAAATGTGTCAATTTCGCGAGAAAACACTGTAACATACGACATTTTACTGGCCCGGACGAAAAGCGGGAAAAATCCGAAAATATATCCGCACCCATTTAAAAATCCTTATGCCGTAACGGTTAGATGGAGAGGATTTGAAAATGAATAATAAATAATAGATTTCTACTCGTATTTGCCTTCTATTTAATAGTCTTCCTTTTTATATCTGTTTGTCATGGATTTTCGGATGGCTTTTTGTCTTTGCTTTTGTCCCAGCTCTCGTCAGTCGTGGGTAGGATGGGAACAACATCATTTGGGCTTGCTGGGATACGCTCTGGTGGCCTTCGAATCAGACCCCAGCATATTGAGGAAACTGACGAAGGTACTGACGATGGTCAGTCCATCCAACGCCTTTCCTCTTCGCGTTAGGATGGGCTACACCTATGAGCTCACCTTCAAGCTGTGCACTGGCAGCATTGGTCAGGCTTTCACTGGGCCACACTTAGCTAGAGGGACAGGGAAGGCACCAGGTGGGCCAAATGCTCTTGAATGCCAGGGTTGCTTTATCTGTGGACTTGTCTCTCGTCGAAAAGCCTCATCCAAGGATCGACGGCTACTTCAGCAAGAAGAAGGCCAAGGAGGAGAAAGCCTGGGCAGGGGCCTGAGGCCGTTGAGAACGTGTCAAGATGCGCAATGCACGCGTTATGTTCGATGTCATCATTGCCTGGCTCTGTTGAAGGGATGCAACTGACGGATTTATAGGGCTTTCATCTCACGGTTCTAGGATCTCACGACATAGACCGTGCTTTCGTTCGGCCTATCAAAGGTCAATTTTGGTACTTTGGAACTGACCACCTGACACGGCTTGAGCAGAAATACACAATCAGAAAGAGCCTTGATGCAATGGTGCTTGATTTATGGAAACACAAATCACGGTTTGTTCGTTGCTCTTGCGTAGCTGCGTCTGAGGAGCAGTTTGAACAAAGATAGGCTTCAGAGTGGAGACCGCATAGACCAAACGCAGGCTCATGCAACTCTTGTGCCCAGCTCCCAGGTCGAGGTTTCAAGCCCTCCCGGGCAACCCGTGATGGAAGAGCAGGTCAAGACCAGCGCGTCTTCCGCGGAGAGCCGGCCCGATCGTGCCATGCAACGCCTTGATGAGTCAGCTGCCTTTGATACTGTAGTTTCTTGACAGGGTGTTCTTGCTCAGACACTCGTTCCTGAGCAAAGTAGAGCTGACAGTCTCCTGTTTTCAGGAGCATCCACCCAAGAGGGGAACTCCATCTTGTTATGTACCCGAAGTTAAACAGGACAAACAGACACCATGGAGCTACTACCAAACCACATTCCTGGCTTGAATAAAGACCATTAGTTGGCAGTGTGCTCAGACGATCAGTACGGAGATGATCGGGAAAACTGTAAAAACGGAGCCCAGTAGGAGGCAGGACCTTCAGAGTCACAGTGTGGAACTCTTGGTTAGTGGCATTTTTGCACAGCTAAGACCAGTGACCAGCATAACGACTTTGGGCCAGCTTGGAACTCTTTGTTGTAGAGCAGGACAATTGCGTTGAAGGAGCCACCAGGTAGGAGGTTTGCGTTCAACTGGAAAGCGCCGTATATCGGAGGAGCCCATCGAGGGCCAGTGGCAGACCCAGGGGCCCTTCAGGCTTCGGTCCCAGACGTTTTGGTCCTAAAGCGCATAAATGGCTTTTGGCTTGTCCGGCTGGAAGTTTGAGAGAGTGACAGAGAGCGAGAGAGAGAGTTTGTTTGCTTCTGCAAAGTCAAAGGTTCGTGGCCGCTTCCAACTCTTCCCGCATCTATTTCTACAGCGGCTGCCGACTCAGCCAAAGGTGAACATTGCTGCACAGCCAGCAAAGACCTGCGCAATCCAGCTTGCATCTTGAATGGGTTTGTTTGGACAGAGCTGGACAAGGGAGCAAGTTCAACCTTTTGTGCATTGCCAGCATTTTGTTCACCTGCAGCACTCAGGTGGCACAGCTTGCACAAATATAGATGATGTGGTCCTGAAGAAGACAAAGGACAGTCGCCATGCTTGCTGCATGTAGCGGAGTTTGTGGAACAAGCGTCATTGGCTTGCCCAACAAGCTTTGCCCATTGCTGCCCATTGTTGTTGATGATACACTTTTAAGACTATTGCCTGTGATCCTTTCACCTCAGCGTCGTGTGGGTGTCAGGCTTCAAAGAAGGTGGTCTTCAACTTTGCCACACTCGTGAGGGAGGGCCACTTTATAGCCTCTCGGCGGGACCTCCCTGGATGGTGTCCAACCCGCAGCATCGCTGCAGAGTGCACTTGTGTCCACACGCTCCAAGGTCACCAAGGGCTCGTTTGTGATGAATGCCTCGGACAACAGCAGCAAGGACTCGTGGGCAGCTTCATGAGAAGTTGGGGACCCCTTTGCAGCTCCGATCTTGAAGAAATTGGCCCAATTTCTGCCTAACTCATAACACCAAGGCGCCTAAGCAGTCTGCCCAACCTTGCAGGATGGCAGCTCCATCCGCGTTGTGAAGGACAATATCGTGGTGCTGAAGCCATCGGAGGCCACGGCACGTGAGTTCAGCCCGGTGAAGCGTGAGTTGCGTCTCCCAGTCTCTCAGTCTCTTGCAAGTTGCCGTGCAACAAGACGCAACAAGTTTGTTGGGCCTTGTTGGGATTGTCATCTCGGGTGCAGCTCAGAGGCCGCCGGTGATGCCGACCAGCAGACGCAGGGGGAGAACGATATGGATGCCTGACCAAAAGCCAGACACACTGTGCAAAGGTAGGAAGACGTCAAGCTGCTTTTGCTGCCCTCCAAGTGGTGTGCAGTTCTAAGATGCAACTATTGATGTTCTGTTGCTACAATGAATCATTCTTCCTGGAAGGTTCTTTCCCCGAAATGGCAGAATTTTGTGAGGGTGCTTTTGGCAGTTCTCGTTGTGCAGGGTGTCGCTGGAGGATGTTGGGGCGTTGGCACAAGCGCATTCGAGGTTGAAGCACCTGTTGTCTTGACATATTCACAGTGCTTGCTTGGGCCGACAGCTCCGGGTTCCTTGGTTTTCTGCCTCCAAGCACAGATGCGAGGTCCGCTTTGGCCAACAGACCGGGCAAGCTTGAGTCCTGACACGCGTAAGGACATTGACACGCGGGACCTGACCGCGGGCGGCTGCTCTCGCGTCTCTGGCTTTGTGAGGCCCCGGAAGGGGGGATGCGCAGAGCCGAAAAGAGTCCAAGAGTCTACAATAATTATTCTCATTGCTTTTCGAGTGCCAATCTGTGGCCTGCTGAACTCGGGGCGGGGACAGCTTTGAGCCAGTGGACATGCTTCTTGGTTCTCAGAATGCCACGCAGGTATGTGCCCAAGCCCTTGTACAGCTACGCTGAGGACGAAGAGAATCTTGGCAAAGTGATATGGGAAATATTAGGCGAATATATGGTTCCTTCTCCGTCATGCAGCTCCATCATCCTATCTCCCTGATTGCAGCAGCGCTCTTGGCCTCCTGGCCTCCTGGGCTCCTGGGCTCCAGGCCTCTCCATTAGGCCTCTTGGCCTCCTGGCCTTTTGGCCTCTCGGCCTCTTGGCCTCTTGGCCATTTTGCCTCCGGGCCATTTGGCCTTCTGGCCTCCTGGCCTCTTGGCCTCTTGGCCTCTTGGCCTCTTGGCCTCTTGGCCTCTTGGCCTCTTCATGCTTTTTCGCTTCCAAGGAGTGGCAATCTGGTGAGCGCAGTGTCGCGGGAGGGCCCAGAGCTGTGAGATGCTGCACTTGGCTGGACTTGCCTTGGACTGTATTTGTGGGCAAGCGCCCTAAACCGGGCAAGCATTTGCTTAAGAAGGACAGGTCAATTTGGTCTCAGTTTTTCTCATCGCGCGTCAGTTCCCTACAGACTTTGTGCTGGTCAAAGGAGATTGCCCCAGAGGTTGACCGGTTAGCTTCTGTGAATGGGCGGACAGCTGCGCAATTGGCAAAGGGCGAAGCCGACGCGTGACGCTAAGGTTCGAGCTGCAAGAGCCAATTGGCCATCGAGTCGAAGATGGCCTCGAAGTTGGCGTGGCCCGGAAGCCTGGTGCGCCTCTCTCTCGCCTCTCTGCAAAGTTCACTAAGCTCGCAAGTCCGTAGAGGTGAAGCCAAGGAAGCCCAAAGAGGCTGAGAGAAACAGATGTGCGAGGTGAGTTGAGCGGAGCCAACTGTACCCGCTTGTTTCCTCCAGAGGCAATAGGTTACAATTCCTTCCGAAGCGTTGCTCCCACTCGTTGACAAGTCTGGCCAGGGCTTGGACACTTTGGTTCCTTTGCGTTTCTATAGGTGGCTTGATTTGGAAGGATGGGTGTTTTGACGGACGCTTGCTGAGACGGGCAGCATCATCAATGCGGTGCTGGACCCGTCCCCGGAGAGCATCCGGCTGAGGTGCACGACTCGCAGTGCTGCTGAAGTTTTGGTCCTTTTCTCATCATGAAAGGCTTTTCACGGAGGTAACTGTAAAAAGCTGGCATGGGATAGTATTGTATCTTTGAATAGCTTTTATCATGCAGTTTGCCATGCATTTGCATTTCTTACCCCACATATTGCTTTGTGCCGGAAGGAGAGCATGAAGAAGCAATGTTCAGACAAGATGAGATCCCTCTTTGCCGTCCCATCTCGCTCGTCAGGCTGAGCATATGTTAATCCTTGTTGTGGCCCACAACGGGATGTGAGAGTGCTCAGTTGAGTTTGTAGCGGGTCACGCTCCTTCTGTCAGGGTCAAGAAGGACATGAGCGGGGAGTTCGATGACACTGGCTACATGCCCGGGACATCAAGCAGGGCAGGGCTTCAAAGGAGTCGTTCGCAGGAGTCGTGGACGCCCAAATTGGGCAAACTGTTTTGAGCAATATAGTAGCAGCTTTTTACATTCCTGCTACCACTGAGACTATTCTTTCTAGGAGCCTCTATCAGCCCGCAACATGACTAACGTACAGCTTTCGATACTATTGAATTATGATATCGCAAAGCGAACAGTGATAGTCAATATGCCTTTCGATCTGGTCATGTTTTGTCATTGATTTATTTAACCTTTGTTCCTGGACACTGCTGCTTGCCACACATTTGCAGAGACAAGAAGCACAGCCGTGCAACATGGTTGTCCGACACTTTGTCCCTACAGCATCCTGGACCTTGGCAGGACTAAGGATATTCTTTATGTTATGCGAAGTCATTCAGGGCAACTGTGGAGGTGTTAGAAGATAATGTTTTGTCTTCCAAGCCTTGCAAGCAGCCCAAATTGGAGCCCTTCTGGCTCCATGGCATAGAAGTGAGTGTTGCTGCTTTCATCTGGCCAAGGATGGAGGTTCAGCTGAACTTCTTCTGCTCGGTGCGCATGGGATGGGAGCTTGTTTCAGCGTACCTGACACCCTGCAAGCTCCCTATGCCACCATTTGGATTGCTGTCGTTGCGATATAAAGGCCTTTGGCGCAAAAGACCGCAGCCAGATAGAATTGCCGCACCAGCATTCAGACTCGGGTGATGCATGATGTACACTTACTATCCAGCATTCGGTCTACCATGGGGCCACTGTCTGCAAGCACTTTCAGTTGATGCGACATTTTTGCTACAGGGGGGTGGCGACTCCCGCAAGCACTGGAAGCTTAACACCTACCAGTATGCAGGCCCGCTGAGCCGCCGTGCCTGTTCGCCTGTTTGGGGAAGACAAACCAAGGTGCATGCGAGGAGCTGGACATCTTGCCATCTTTAAGCTAGAGGGACAGCCACTGGATGAGACATATCCGGAGTTTCGTTGACCTGCAAAGGGAAGAACCAACAGCACACCCCTCAGATAGCAGCATATTTAGAAGATATTTTGAAAACTTTTCGAAGTCTTACTTGCGCAGATGCCTGCTGATTGTTCGCGAAAGCTAGCATGCGAGCTGGAGTCTCTCTAGCTTCAGTAAGTACTGGGGCCTGCTCCCCGCTCTTCTTCCTCTTCGCTCCGCTCTTCTCCCTGCCCTTCTCCCACTATTGGCTCCGCTCTCTTTGCTCTGCTCAGTCTTCGCTCCGCTTTTTTTGCTGCTCTTCTCTCCGCTCTTCCGCCCACCCTGCTCTCCATATCTCCGCCCTTCGCTCCGGCCCTTGCTCCGTTCATTCCTCCATTCTGCTCCCCGCTCTTTTGGTTTTGCTCGTGCGCTCTGATTGCACTCTGCCAGGCCTGTTCGAGCGCTTTGGCCGTTGATCCTTCTTCTCGTGAAGTTCCTCCCCTGTCAATCCTCACAGTGAGCTGGCGTTGCCCTTGTGCGGACACTAGCTTTCGTCTGCCTCCTCTGATCTTCCTTGCTTTGGCTGGGAAAACAGGTATCCCAACCTTCTTCAGCTTGATTTGGCATGCGCGTCCTTGGGCGATCACTTTGGTTCGACACCCATTAGTTTTGCCGCTTTAAAGCTTGGGCTTTCGAAGGCAACGAGGGCCTTTGCATGTCCCTGGTGGCGCGGGACAGCGTGGGCATTGGCTGCCACGAGGTCACCTGCAGGCCGGGCACCCTGCTGGCCATTGACCCAAGTGCAGAGAATTTGGCGTTCGGAGAATGAATGAGACAAATTAGACGAGGGTTTCTTGGAGTTTCAAAACATCCAAATAGACACTTCTCAGCTCGGGAACTTTCATTTGAGAAGTTGCTTGACAATTAGAAAATGGCGACAAATGTGGCACGTGGCATCTAGAAATAGATCATGTGACTCCTTCATTGGCCAGGATGAACGCTGTCTCTGATGCAAGCCTGCAGCCCTGCAACGAAGAGGCCGGTCAGCCCTGCATAAGAGTTTGGCTTCCAGGTACCTGCCAGATCAGCTCAGCTTTGGACTTCGAGTCCATAGTTGAATCTTTTCACAGGTTGAACATATGCTTGAGTGGCGTGGCATACATTTTCTCCTGTCCTTGCGTAGCTGAGAAATCAATGAGTCTGGGGGATCCGGCGCAGTTGGTGCAGCTCGAGCATAGGCAGACTGCTGCTCTATCACGAGTGCAGGGTGTGCTCAAAGATGCATTTAGTGATTGTGCTAGGGTTGTCAGGCTTTTCTCACGCTAAGATTTTGCCTGTCCGTTGCCAAGAGGTGAACGATCTCCCCTCACTCTTCGGCCGTTAGGATGCTGACTGCATCCAAGCTGGAACTGCGAGTCTCAGGGTTTCCTCGCCAGGACTGGGCCCAGAACTTCTATGCAGACGGCCACTTGCTGCGGAGCGCCAGCCCTGCAGACAGGTGTTTGGCAGTGGACTACTCATCGAGCTCCTCGTCCGGAGCCCAAACAATGCAGAGCACTGGCATCGGGATGGCTCATGGCAAGCTTTGCAACGTCCTGCACCACCGTACCCACCCGCTCACCGATGCTCAGGGACTGCAAGCCTTTGAGCCTGAAGCTTTGCGACGAGTCCGATGCTGGGCAGCGCTGGACCATCCAAGGCGGCCAGAACGCCCAGGCGGGGTCACGCATGGATGGAGTCAAAAGTCAAAATCCAAAGGAGTTTTTTTTTCTTTTTTTCTTTTTTTTTTCTCGGATTTTTTTTTTTTTTCGGAGTTTCTTTTTCGTTGTTTTTTTTTTCCCGGATTTTTTTTTCCGGATTTGTTTTCCGTTTTTTTTCTTCTTTTTTTCCTCCGATTTTTTTTCTTCCGCTTTTGGCTTCTTGGCTTCTTGGCTTCCTGGCTTCTTGGCTTCTTGGCTTCTTGGCTTCTTGGCTTCTTGGCTTCTTGGCTTCTTGGCTTCTTGGCTTCTTGGCTTCTTGGCTTCTTGGCTTCTCGGCTTCTTGGCTTCTCGGCTTCTCTTCTTGGCTTCTTGGCTTCTTGGCTTCTCGGCTTCTTGGCTTCTTGGCTTCTTGGCTTTTCGGCTTCTTGGCTTCTCGGCTTCTGGGCTTCTGGGCTTCTGGGCTTTTTGGCTTCTTGGCTTCTTGGCTTCTTGGCTTCTTGGCTTCGATTGTTTGCAGAGTAATTGCACCCCTATTTGAATCAACTCTTCTTCAAACATCATGGGGGGGCGGTGCCGCCTCCCCCCCGTTACTTTTTAGATTTCTTGCAGAGATTGAATTGCACCCCTGTTTGAATCATCACTTTTTCGAGGCGGCAACATACGACATTTTAGTAATCTGTGTAATCCATGTATGTCTGTATGTATGCGTTTCTTCGAACATCATAGGGGAAGCCACCCCCGCCAACCCTCCCGCTGCCTTTTAAATTCTATCACACCCTTTCTTGAATCATTGCACCCCTACTTGAATCATCACTTCTTCCGACATCATGGGGGGGGCTGCCGCCCCCCCCAACCCCCTCGCTACGTTTTAGATTTTCTGCCGGGATTTATCAATTCTTCGAACATCATGGGGGGGGGGCTGCCGCCCCCCCCCAACCCCCCCGCTACTTTTTAGACTTTTTGCAGAGATTTAATTGCACCCCTATTCAAATCATCACTTCTGCAAACAACATCATTGGGGGGGGGGCTGCCACCCCCCCAACCCCCGCTACTTTTTAGTGTTTCTTTTTACAGGGATTGAAATGCCCTCCTACTTGAATCATTTCTTTGACCCCGTCACACGATTTGTTGGTGGTCGGACATGCGGGGGATGTTGAAAACGATGCTGGGGATGTTGACGAGCTAGTGTAAAATGCTTCAATTTCACGAGAAAATGCTGTAAAATACGACATTTTACTGGCCCGGCAGAGATTGAATTGCACCCCTGTTTGAATCATCACTTTTTCGAGCGTCCAATTTCACGAGAAAATGCTGTAAAATACGACATTTTACTGGCCTGGCAGAGATTGAATTGCACCCCTGTTTGGATCATCACTTTTTCGAGCGTCCAATTTCGCGAGAAAATGCTGCAAAATACGACATTTTAGGTAATCAGTGTAATCCATGTATGTCTGTATGTATGCATTTCTTCGAACATCATAGGTGGCCACCCCCGCCAACCCTCCCGCTGCCTTTTAAATTCTATCACACCCTTTCTTGAATCATTGCACCCCTACTTGAATCATCACTTCTTCCGACATCAGGGGGCTGCCCCCCCCCCCCCCCCCCCACCCCTCGCTACGTTTTAGATTTTCTACAGAGATTTAATTAGTTGCACCCCTAATTGAATCATCACTTGTTCGATCATCATGGGGGGGCTGCCGCCCCCCCCAACCCCCCCGCGCCTTTAATTGAATCATCGCTTTTTCAATCATCATGGGGCCCCCCAACCCCCGCTTTTTTTAAGACTTTTTGCCCCTAATGGAATCATCACTTTTTCGATCATCATGGGGGGGGCTGCACCCCCCCGCTATTTTTTAGACTTTTTGCCCCTAATTGCGTCATCACTTTTTCGATCATCATGGAAGGGTGCTGCCGCCCCCCCCCCCCCCCAACCCCCCCGCACCCAGCTACTTTTGGGATTTTGTTACCCACGATTTGTTGGTGATGCTAGGGATGTTGCTCGGACATGTGGGGGATGTTGAAAACGATGCTGGGGATGTTGACGGGCTAGTGTAAAATGCTTCAATTTCACGAGAAAATGCTGTAAAATACGACATTTTACTGGCCCTAAAAAGAAAACGAAAAAGCACATCCCAAAATAAATCCGCACCCAAATCCAAATGAGGTGCTGAGCAGTACATGGGGCCGAGAGCCAATTAAGATGGCAGAGCAATTGAAGTTGCAAGCCTTGGACAAAATTTGCTTGGACGCTTCGCAGTGAAGGATATTGCCGTGCTTCGCATGGACGACGGCCTGGTCGTCTCTGTCCCGAAGGCACGACTAGAGTCAGTTGGCATCCTTTTGTTTGTTTTCTGATGGCAGAACAAGCAGAAGATTCGTTGAGTTAGCTTTCAGAATTAGGGGATGTCGAGCTATGGTGTGCTTTGTGCTTGTTGGATGCCAGGCCGGCACTGAGCTGGCGAGCTTCGACATGCCAGTTCAGGCGCGCATAGCCAGCCTGATTGCATTCATCCGGCTGAAATGTCATACGCAGAGGAGACATCATGAGGTTTGCAAGCATGGTTGCATTCTTTAGGGCATTGCATGCAGCTGCAGAATCGTTGAATTGAGTGGGTAGTAGGACACGGGCAGGCCTTGAGAGAGTTGCGTCCTCGCCTGTGCGAGGATGGTCCTGTCGACCCCGTGGCTCTCAACCAGCCCTAAAGTAAATCCCTTTGCTTTTTGGGGCAAGCTTGTCAAGAAAGCGCGTTTTGCAGGCCTGCAAGGAGGAGGAGAGGGTTCGAGTCACAGAGTCAAAACCTTCCTTGGAGGTTGCAGCATAGTCCATGATAGCCCGCGTGGGTTTTGATTGATATCTCCATCCGTCTGAAAAGAATAGGATACCCCGGGTTTCAGGGATTGATACTTGCACTATCAGCTTTTGGGCTATCATCCAAAAACTAGTGAAGCCGCCAACGATGTAGTCCCGCATATGTAAGGGCTGCCGCCCGGTGTCGCCGATCCGTTTTTTCATCTTCTTTTTTTCCCCGCAAGTGAAGATTCAAGGCTGGCTCATCGCTTGCTGTTACCTTGGTTGGCGTTGATGGTCGGGGGTTTGCTAGAAGAGGGGAGAACACGCGCTCCGACGGGATTGACCCGAGGAGTCACCGTGGCTGGGGTTGCGCGGAGATTGATTCGCGTACGCGTGTGCGGGCTTGAAACTGTCTCTTTGCCTCTCCTCTGTTCTAACGGGGGGAGGAGGTGGAGGGTGATGATGATGTTGGTGCGCTGGTGATGCATTTGGTGTTTACATAGGTTTCAGGTGGCTATGACTCCCACCCCTCCCCCCAAAGACAACCCCGTAAAGTGAATTGCCGCGGCCAATGTTTTGTGCTTTTTGCTTTGAGGGCTCCTGGACATGTTTTTCGGTGTTTTTGTCGACTCCGAACGGTGCTCCGAGGTAGCGCCCCTGCCTCACTTTCGGGTGTTTGTGGATTTTAAGTTATGTACGTTTCGCCGGTCTGGATGGTTCTTATGGCTTTGATGCCGCTTTTTGTGCTACGTCGCCCGTGTTGCAGATCCTTCTCGGTGGGCACGACCCTTGCCGTATGTCTTGGGGGGTAACATGATAACGTTCATTGGCAGGAACTTCCTGGCCCAGAGGCCCTTTGTTTTGGGGTGTGGACTTATGTGGAAGTGTGCGTCAATCTGCATGAACGAAAGAGACCGGGACCAGTTGCAATGGGCAACATGCACTGGGTGCATTGAACATGCACCAGAAATGCGTTTCGCCCAGTCAGGCGTTTAATCAGCCGCTCTGGATTTTGCTGTGGAAAGAGGGCAAATCTGCGGATTGTGGGCGGTGCTGTTGGTGAGACCTATGTTGAATTCTCGTGTTTTAATAGGGTTTGGATGTGTGTCGCCCATTGCAGCTGATGCCGGCTTCTTTCGTTCATTCAGAGTGACGCGGACTTTGGGCGCGCAGTCACTGAGGGGGGATGAGGCCTTTTAGTGTCTCATCTCATTCTTTGGAGAACCTCAGGGTTTGGACCTCGTAGCATCCCACGCATCATCAAGGGTGTCTAGCGGCACACTTGAGAAACCAAGGGAATCTTGTTGCCTGGGAGATCCACAACATAATCTTGATCAGGCTACTTTGCGATCTGTCATTGCATGATGTCTACACTGGCATCATACATATCAGATCCGGTCATGCAGTGAGACGAGGAGAACAAACGACTGCTTTAGTAGGCGAAGCATTTCAATCGAGATTTCCCGACAAGCGTCAATTGCTGCCACACAAAGTCACAACACATTATGTTGCAAGCTCAGCAAGCACGCCGCTGCTTTTTGCCCGTGCAATTCACAAAACCACACCAGCTTCCATATCCACATATCCGCGAATCAATTCCAACGTGATACCCAAACCCGAAATGTAAAAGTCGATAAAACACATCGTTGCATCCCAACGTGTTTTGCATCTGGGTGTTTGTCATGAGATCTCAAAAGCATCTCACTCTACCACCAACGTGCTTGTCCGCGTGCGCGTAATTTACGCATTGCAGCATCACAAGTGCTGTATGACATCCAAATCCGATGTACACAAGTTGCCATAGCATCCCAACATGTTTTTGCATAATAGGTAGTCAACCGGCTGATGCCATGGGAAGCTTGATGTGCACGCGTACAAAATCACACTTCCCGGGCGCCTCGCCCTTACGGACAAGGGGTCAACGGACATGCTTCTGCGGAGACTTTGACTCAGGGTTCAATCAAGCCCAAGTGTTCACGCAGTGCATCTCAACGGAACCACCAGAGGCAACGCCCTACTTCTCTGCATGTACCATCATGCCGACATGAATATCAGCCGGTACAGACCTTGTAGGGTGGCACAGACACACACCACATTCAATCAGGCAGTCAAGCACGTACACACAAATGACTCAGCGCATCAATCAAAGCCTCTCGCCAGGCTGTGAATTTCAAAACGCTCGCTCACGTCATGTTAGCTCATGTTTGAGCTCCAGGCCTTAGCTTGCAAGACCAATCCCCATTCGGGCAGGACATGGCCAGGGTCAAGGCCTTCAACCAGATTGCTTCTAACATGGCGCTGTTCTCAGAGCGTGTCCTCAGCGACGTGGTTTTCCAATGCAATGGTTCTGTGGCGAGGCACATCAGCAATTGGCCGAAACGGCTCCCTTTGCGTGTGAAGGGCAGCTTGGTAGTGCTCGATCGACAATGTAGGAACAGTGTTGCATGTTTGTTTCCCGCCGGAGATTACTGAAAATCCTCATGATCAACAGAAGCAAACCATCGCATGATGCATGGTCGTGCCATTGCATTGCATAAAGATTGAAGAACACGGCTGACAGGCCCATGCAACGCACAATGGCAGGATACGGAGCTCGTAATAAGGCAATTCAAAGCAACAAGCATGGATTTAGGACTGGCGCCCAGACAATTCGCGTTGTCAATTCTCTGGTGGCTCCGCCAAAGGGACTTGCATTTGAATCATCGTTGATTCCGCCTGATTCAGCTGGCCATCCTAGTCACTGGAGGCTGTCGCAGGTCAAAGGTAAGGCGGCGTTTTAGGTCGCGAACTTGGTCATGGTGCATGAGCTGGCGACGAACTTCACTGAAAAGGCCTCTGGAGGAGACTTGGGATGCAGTATGCAGGATTGCCGAGAGTCAGGAGTTTTTTGGCTACTGTTTTGGTCAAGCAAACAAAGCTGGGCTCTGTGATGTTGAGGCTTGCGGAGGTATCTACTGAGCATTGTGGCGAAATCAGACTTTGAACCCGGTATATACTCCGGGGATACCCCTTCTGCTCTAGCAAAGCTTTTTTCTGTTCGAAAAGAAGGAGCTGGTTTAGGAATCTTGATTGTCAGCTCAATGTTATAGATTTTAAGTTAGACGTGTGAAACTGCAGATTGCAGGCATTCAAGCAGAAAGCTTGTCTTCTCCATGCATCGCAGAATCTCCGGAACAATAACCTTGGCCAAGGGGGAGCCCTCGATGTTCCAAGTCAATTCTGGCAGTGCAACAAATCTGACCGAGCGTGGTGACTTGTGCCATGCACAGCTGCAAGCGTGAACAAGGCAGCGAATTGATTCTCTCCAACGTCTGGGCAGAGGCGCGTTTGGTGGAGCGAGATACGGAATTTCATGCTTTGCAGCGGCTTTGTGCATGCTTGAGGAAGGCATCAGTGTTTTCATTGTGCGAGTGGTCATGAGCTTTGCCGTTGATTGCAGCCTCAATCAATGTGAGAGCGAAAAGGCAAGCTTTTTCATGCCAGGCAATCTGTCCGTGGTTTTTCAACCCGCCCATTCACACTGACAGCTTGACTCTCAGATCGTGACTTGATGTGGCATTGCAGACCTTTGCAACTACAGACACCGACACAAACTGCCATCATTGAATCATGCACACAAGCAAGGGGCCTTCAATAAGGAAAGCCTTGCGGAAGGTAAACTACGCTTTCCGGAATGGCACTCAACTATTTGTTGACAAGCGGAAGGTGCGTCACAGGAGAGTTCGGCTCACAGGGGCTTTGCAGTGAGTTGCTGGGAGTGTCAGGTTCCACGTTGACTGGTTCCTTTTCCTGCATGGAAGCTTCTAGCAGTGTTTCGGATGGGCTTTGAAGGTGCCGTGCAAGGTTTCCGCTAGTGAAACCAATCGTAGTGGAACCGGCAGAGGAAGCAGCGTCACATTTGAGCGACCGAGGCAAGCTCATCAAGTGCTACAACAGGGAGCTTTGCAATCCAGAGGAAGACGGAGAGTTCGGCAGCCCAGCCCAGGCCGTTTGAGGCAGCATGCAGAGCAAGTCACATTCTTGCCCTCGCACTTAGTTAGCGATGCACTGCCGTCAGGGCAAGCAATGCCACGTTCTGGCCCAGGAAGGGCGTTGTTGGAAGTGCGCCCGTCGCATGTAGAACCACATATCTTTGATTAAATGTTCTTGTCAAAGCTTGGCAGTAGTTTTGAATTGTGTTAATAGTGCAACACACGAACTTGCACTTGCGTTGACATTCTCCAGTAATTCTCACGGGCAATAGAGCGAAGTTTCTAGCGGCACTGCAACAGGGGCGGGCGGATACTCTCCATCGTAGTATGAGACTCCCTTTGAACCATCTTTGCAGCGTGTGGGTCTCTCACATCTTAAGGAGCTGCTGCAACGACAAGGGGGGCACTTTCATGTGCTCCATGCGCGGTGCTCAGCCATGTGCTGGGCAAGGGGCATATGTGGGCGGAGTGCCGATTTCAGAGCTGCAAGCTGGAATTTCTTGATTTCGCATGCAATTTTGTTTGACTCTTCCGGCTCACGACTGGAGATGCATGGTAGCCATTTGTCAACAGTGCTCATCCAGTCCTGCCAGCGCTGACCCGGGCTGAGGACACCCTTTGAACAGGCTTGCAAACCTGGGCAGATCGGACTTCCAGACTTCCGGCAAATGTACCCAGATGCCCCAGAACATGCCCAGCATGCCCCAACCGACAGCGTTGCGAAAGTGCACCTGGACATTGAGTTGTGAGGAAAGCCAAACCAACTGCGAACCCAAACTTGCCGATGGCCTTCAGCTTGCTTGCGCCTGTGCAGCTAACTGAAGCTAGAGCTAATGCATTGACGAGTGCGGCAAAACCGTACCGACTCGCCCAGCATGTTGCCTGGGGATTTCCTTCCCAAAGCGCTGCCTGAAGGACTGCAGTTGCAGAATGACTCTGTTAAGGTCTGCGCCATACATGTGCAAGTCCAAGACCAATGGCAAGAACCCGGGTGACTACTTCTGCCGGAGACCCAAGCGGCAGCGTATTTGTGCAACGCGTTGAGGTCGTGCAACAACACACACTTGATATGAGACGGCAAAACTGACAAAGGCTGTTTGAAGGTCTCCGGCAGGGCAATGGAGTTTCGGCTTACTGCATGCTCAAACATCTTTCATGCCACCGACCATCCTCTTCAGGAACGCCATCGGCAGGTGACACTACTTCATGTTGAGACATCCAGCAAGGTGGCGTTCGACTCCAATAAAGAGAGAAAGGCACGACCGCAAAACCCCTTAGGAACAGGGGGGCCACACACACACACACCCCGCAGGGGGAAAAAAGAACCAAAACAGCCCGAATCTCAACACTCAGAGAAACCGCCAAGTTCTGAAAGCCGCCTCCATCATAATTCCCGATGGGTGATTTGGTCTGTTTGTGGAACTCCTGCCTGTGCTCGCCTACTTGCGGCCATTTTGACATGTGGCTTCACCGCCTAAGTTCAGGTGGCCTTCTGATGCTGTTCCTTCACCTTCCTGAGGCGCTCCAGACTCTTCCAGCGCTGCGTGACATCCGCGATGGACCGGTTGAGCTTCTTGGCCAGCGACTTGTACGAGTACTTGGGCCGGCTGTCTCCCTTCAAGCTGCAGAGCTGCTGGTCATCTTCTTCTGTCCAGGCCCGAGGTACTTCTGGGGGAGTTCCGGGGTTGCCGGCATCGGAGTGAGCATGAGGAGGAGGTTCAGGAAGAGATTCAGGAGAGGAGAACAGTCCAGTGCAAGGAGATACCGGAGCAGGTGCTGGAGTGCGAGATGCTGGAGGCGCCGGAGGCTCTGGGGAGTTCGTGTTCTCGGAAGATGTAGCGCGGCATCTCTTCCGCTTTGTTCGGCGTCGGTCCGTGCCTGTCTTGTCCATGATGGAGCGAGGAATATTGGCCTTCTTGATGCTCAGCTGACCGAGCGCGGGTCTATAGCCTCGTTGGTGTCCCCCGTGATGATGCCGTAGGACAACGACTTGGGGTTGGCCACTGCGTTGTGCCTATGGTCCGCGTGTAGCTGGAGTGACTGAAAGCCGACTGGTGGTGGAGGGTCGGCCGGAGTCTCCGAGTTGACCGAATTCAGGATCACCGGGCCAGGTGGGTCCACCTCATCGAATCCAGCATGATCATGTGCTCGATTCTGCCAGCGACAGGCCTCGGACATGTTGTTGCCGCAAGCGACCTTGCCCGTCATGATGCCGGCGACTGTGTGCCTCGTCAGCCTGATTCAAGGTCTCCTGGATGAGCTGCATCATGTCCGCAGCGTTCTGGGTCATACGGTGGTGAAGTGCTATCATGCGTCCGAGCATGACGACCGCTTTCCGATGTCGGCGAGAAGGCCCACGTCTTGAACCAGCGAACGAGCTCCGTGATCAACACAAGAGTCAAGGGACCCCGGAACCCAAACAGAAGAAGAAGAGCACCCGAACGCAACAGCCCAAACGAGCCAAACCCGGTCCGGAAGAAGACCGAAACAAAAACAACAAGAGCGAGCCACAAAGCCAAGCATCGAAAAACAGCGACTACTGGCACTTAAGCGTTCTTTCTGGTTGGGATCGCCGGAAGATGAAACAGGTGCTGCAGGTCAGCTGACTTGTAACCGGCGGACAAATATATACTGCGGAGCTGATCCAGTGCCATCTGCACTGCTCGGGCCGGGTGCGCGTACTTGGTGGCGAGGGCTGACCGTGATCTGGCCCCGGAGAGAAGGGTGGAGAGACTTCCTGCAGTGTGGGGTCCTCTGATCTGCCAGATTTTGGTTGGGGTTTTGTAGTAAATCGCACGGTCGCCCACATCGATCACAAAGCCGAGGAACTCAGAAGATCCCACCTGTTCCAACACGATGGGGGCACCGTAAAAGTCAGCTTGAAGCAGAGCCTCCAATGGAGCTGCTGGGTGACCGGAGGCCGGAGACGGGAAGATCACAAATCTGTTGTCGACATATCGCTCCAAAAAGATATTGTGACTGGCGAACCATTGTCCGTAGATACGCTGCCAAAGAACTTCGTGCCTCGCGACGCAGATGTGGCTGAGAACTGGGCTCAGCTGAGAGCCAATCGCCGTCCCGTGGACTTGGCGCAGAATGAGAGTTCCCACCTGGACATACATGCATTGGAAGCTGGATTTGACGATATCCAGGATGTCCTCCACGTAAATGACCCGCGTGGTCGGCGTACGTCCGTAGGATTGCTTACCCGCAAAGACCCGATTGTAGTGGACAGCTGCCTGAGTTTCCACTGAATAGATGAGACCAGGATGCTCTCGCCGGTGCTCTGCTAATAGCTGCTCGACTGCTGCGCACACTTGATCCTGAGGGACACTGTTGAAGAAGCCGACCAAATCGTCATTGTGGAATGCAAGGGTGACTGTATCGTCTGTGTTGTCAAAGTAATGTTTGACGTTCTGCCATATCCTCGGCGTGGGGTGTATCCCCCACGAACACTTCCATGTAACCGCTGCGATCTCGCCGAGGAGGATTGCAACCGCTTTGAAGAGCTGCCGATGTACCACCTTATGGTAGGCTATAATAGTCCGCCCCGATTTCCATTGCTTCTTACGTTTGAGAAAAACTTTGCCAACCGGGATGGCGGTGGTCTTCTTCCTGTATGCCCATTTGTACCTCTTCTGCAGGTGCCGAGGAATAGCTTCAACAATAAGAGCCCCGGCTTGATCGGGCTTCAGTGGAGTAGCGGCAAATGTGCCTGACTGAAGCCAGGTGTTGTGGAGGCCTTTGAAGTAGAGTTGAGGGCAGAAGAACATGAGGTGGTGGTTGTCGTGATCCTCGTTATGGCACACAAAATCCTGGCCGAGGTGTCGATGCAGGATGTTCAGTTGGTGCTTGGTAAGGAGCTGATGGGTGGACGCGTGCTGCCGATGTTTCTGAAATTGACTGCGTAGGTGCTCCATGAGAGGTGCGTGGAACTGGTCCAGGGGCAGGCCGTGGTGCAAACACCATTTTCGTAGGCGTTCATGAACCTGCACTTCGTAAACTGAAAGGTCCACAAAATACGACGCCAGCGCTGAGGTGTAATGAACGTGCTGAGGGGTTCCCGGAAACCGGAACTCATCTAATCCCGCGGCCACATGGCCTTGAACGTGAGATAGCCAGGGACACGATGATGGTCCGGGGGATGTCAGGAGGTAGCAGTCCTGAAACGACGAGAAGTTCCACATGACTGTATGGACCCGAGGATGAGGGGTCTCTGCCAACTTCGTACTGGGCAAGTGAAATGGAAGAGCCCAGTTGCGATGGTCGAGGACGAGCCGACGAAGCACTTCCCTGGTGGACCGCTGATAATGTGGATGGGACAGCCACGGCAAGTTGATCTTGGGTTGCTGAAGTTGACGGAAATCAAGAACTCTTCGCAGAATGTTCCGAACTCGATGCCGATGAGGCTGTTCCACATTGCCAGACAGCCTGTATATAGCATAGATATCCAAGTCTGAATGCCGTCCGCTACGAAGTCGTTTTTCCTCCTCCCAGGATTCAATGTGCTCCAAGGTGAGGCGAGCGATGATGGACCAGGCTTGGGTGTGTTTGAGTGCCACCCGATGGAAGTTCCTGCCATAGACAGTGCAGCTCCTCCTGCGCAAACGGAGGAAAAGGCGTTTGCCGAACCTGGACCAGGGCTGTTCTGCAAGAAACCTGGTAGCCGTATAGCCGGTGGAGATGCGCTTGTACCGCCGATAAATATAGGGCCAATTGAGGGACGGCTGATAAATGCTAATCAAGGCATGTTCCTGGGTCCAGGTGACCGCGTGGTCGGGGTCTGTCAGGATGACCCATGTAGCAAACTCGTCATAGTTGCCGAAGTGATGCCACCATCTGAGGGCTGGTTCCGCATTGATAAACTGTCCGTGCTGAATACCCAGTAACTTGGCCCTACGATTGTGTTCTCGACTAGGATAAGTGATGCTGGTGCTTCCAATGTATACGTCCGACTGCGGGTTGACGGAGCGTGGAAGGTCCGGGCGGAGTTCGACTCGCTGCTTCCAGTACACTGCATTGGGCTGCGAGAAGTGGGTGAAGGTGTACATGTTCGGGTGGATGCGTAAACGTCGGAGTCGGCGTCTGAGTTCCGTGAGTGCATGCGTGGGACGACCGTAGTGATGAACCATCAGCAGCGTGGACATTGACTCGGCCCACATAGACAGTTGCTTGTTGACCATCGGCATGTTGAGGATTTGGCGACTTGTGACGATGATCAGATAGAGGACCTGATAATACTGGTAGGATGCATGCACATCGAGCGAGTCACCGAGTCTGATTGCAATAAGCGCCGTGAGGTAGGGAAGGAAATAATCGGTGCCATGCTGCAGGCTCACTGGCCAGGATGGCTCGGGAATACCATCTGGCTGCACTGTAAAGTTCTGACCGTTCATACTTGCCGTAGAGCTGCCAAAGAAACACCGTCTCTGGAGATTGAATGACCGGCATGGCTTAGCCATGCATCCGACGCTCGAGCACTGAACGGTTAATTGGGTCAACTGGAAACAGCGGGGAAAAACGCCGACCCGCGACCCCAAGAAAAACAGGAAAACGAAAAAGAAGGAGAAAAGGCAGCTGATGGTCTCAGGGCAAGGTTCAAGCGCGATGAGCAGCAGGCCTTTTGTGCCAGTCGTGTCACAAGGTGCTAACTTCCTTCCTCGTGAGCGCTACAGCCGCTCCTCTCACTTGCCATACATGTACAGAACCGTGATAAACTGCAGGAGTGCTCGCTTCGATCCCTTGCTCACTAAGGAGATTGGGGCCCCCCACTTGACTGCAATGGTTTTCAGCTGCTCCACCGTGTCCGATGCCAGCTCCTGCTTGATGAGATCGAGGTAGGTCGCTTGGTTGGACAGCGTGCGTTCGTGTAGCCATGCCTTGAAGACCTTGTCCGTGAGGCTGGTGGGAAGTGGTACCTGTTGACCTTTGGGATTTCCCTGACGTAGAAGTTCTGAGTCTAGTGTGATGTCCGGGGCAGTCTCCGGGGTCTTTCGCTTTGCCGGTCGTCGCTTGGGGGCTGGATCAGCCTCCGGGGATGGAACTGGTAGGGGGGGTCCCTGAGCATCTGAGTTCGCCGCATTGATGTAGAGGGACTGGTCAGAGCGGCCGGGCGTGGGGGTCCAGGACGCGGCATTGGAAGGGGACGAGGGTGGCTGCTTCTTATCCGGTGTAAGAGTGATGCCCTTGTTCTTGTAGCGCTCCAGCTGTTGTTCCAATTCGGCAATTTTGTGGCGAGTGAGGTTCTCCTGCTTGGCGGGCTGCAGCGACTCTATGAGATCCACGATTTTGAGCGCAAGTGGCTCCATAAACTGCATAGCCTCGTTGCGCTTATCCGGCGCATTGTCCGCGTGGAGAGAGCGAGCTGTCCTGTCGATGTCGACCTCCCTGCCTCTCAATGCTTTGAGAATGGATGTCAATAAGACCGCCTCGGCTATCGTCTGAGCCATGACTGGTGTCCTGGCCCGGCAGGGCGTCGCGTGCTCGTCAGCTGTATCGCCCGTTTGACAGCGCTCGTAATGCGTGATCTTCTGCTCCTCCTCGAAGAAGTCGTGTCAATGGAAGATCCAGGATAGCTGTTCCTGCGAGCCCGACCCTTCTGGACCACTGAGTGGGTTGAACGTGACGGTACAGCTGCAGGCCGCGGACTTCCGTCTTGTCGAGGAAGATGTCATCAGATTGGAAGGTGCTAGGGAGTAGCTGCGAATATCGAGGCTGAGTGTACTGCGTTGCATCACCTTGGCCTAGAGGTGCCCGAACTGGAGGTTGAACTGGCGGTGCTGGTGGTGGGGGACGAGGACCTGTCTGCATGTGGTTTGTCCCACCACCGTGATAGTTGTAGAACTGACCGGGAGGTAAACTGGTGAGCCATATGTGGAGGCCGAAGAGGATTGACACGAGGTGCTGCTTCCTCTCGAGGTTGATGCTGCAAGGATTCCATCCGATTGGAGCTCAAATAGACCTCCTGCTGGGACTGCGGTACTGACCATGATGGAAAATACGAGGATCCCGGATGCGAAGAGGAGGAGGGTGCCGATGTCGCCGGCCATGAATAGTTCCACTGAGAAGCCATCACGAGATGGGAGTTCGTCGTCAACACTTGCTGATAGATTAAAAGCTAGGGATACGGCACAAATTGTCGAAACGGCAACCGATTTGCAATCGGACCCAGGGCTTTTTGAAACCGGGAAACAGCAGTTGTCACAACGAATCATCAAAAAGCGAAAGAACCCGCAGTAAGACCAACAAGAAAGTCATGCTTGAGTAAGGCTCTAGCGTGCACTTTTTGTCGCAAAATATCGTCGGTGGTCGAAGACGGCAGTGTGGCGAAGGATGCTCTTATTCGCAATGAAACATCACAAATTGTCATTGGTTGCAGAAGCTCTTGGTGCAGGTTCACGAGCGGAGGACACCTGTGGGCGGCTTCGTATCGGTAGGCCATGCGAGTCCAACGATCTGGCTTGCTTCTGGAATCACCATCCAACACTTGCCCGACACATAGTGGATGACGTCAGGACGTTCACTGGAATCCAGGGCCTCAATGCAAGCTTGCTCTCCTCCCGATCGAATCGGCTGACAGGTACCGACAGCGCGTCCAAACAGCAGCAATTGGGCCATGTTGAAAGACATACTCCAGTTCTGGCTCATCGTGCGGGCGTGTCCAGTGATCTTCCAGCCTTGGGCGTGAAAGGCTGGGCGCTCCGAGGAGTGCTGCCTGGAAGGATGGATCTGTCGGCTCCGCAGTATGCCTCTAGTGCCGCCGACACTGGATGCGTGAGTCCAGAGCAGCATGGGTCGCGGCTTCGTTGGTTCTTTGAGCTGAACTGTAGCACCAAGGTAGGGGATGGTCAGCATGAACCAGTGCGGAGTGATCTTATAAAAGTGATGTTCCGGATTGACCTTTGCATAGTTCAGGGTGGAGTGCTGAGACGGTATGCCGGCTGCATTCAAGGTAGCGGCCACATAGTCCATCTGCTCCTGATTGACCGGGATCCCTTCGCGGATGTACGGTGCGGCAAGCACCTGAAGTTCGTTCCTCCACGGGTCGGACTCCGGGTTGGGAAGCAGGATCAGCGGTGGGTGCGCCTGCGGATTTGGGCGTAGTTGCATGCTCCTCGAGGACGACCCCACATCTGGGTGAGCAGCTGTGGCCTTTGAGGCTGGAGCCGATGGGGCACTGCTTCTGCTGCGCGGAAGTGGAGATCGATTGCTTCTCGGTCGTCGGGATGAAGCTTTAGTTGCCGTAGGCGCTCGGGATGAGGACTTGGCTGCTGTGGGTGCCGACACGGCGAGAGCCGGTGCTGCCGTGGTGGAATTATCCGATGTTGTGTCCCTTCGGGAGATCGGTGGTGGCGTCCTGGAGCGAGCTCGACCTCGCCGCTGTGGGGGCACTGACTTGGAGTAGGGGGAAGTGTTGTGGGAACGTGACCGCTCTCCCTCCGTTGTGTGGCGTGATCTGGCTGGTGGGTTGGGCGGTGGAAGCATCTGACCTAATGGAGTTGCCGTAGGGATCGGTGCGATGTGGTCATAGGTGGGCATGCTGTAGTTGAAGCCGTTGGGGTAGCCGGCGTCATTGGAGTCATTGGAGTCATCGGTGTGGCTGGGCGTGCTTTCACCAGGATTTGCGGCAGAGGGCCAGCTACTGATGCAGGCCAGACAGGCAGGGTAGGGATCGATGCCGAGGCGTCGCCGGGAGCAAGAGCTGGAATGCAGGTTTGGTAGCCCTTGAGGTGCTGGACACCGCGCCAGAGATGCTAGAGGTTGGTGTCACAAGCGCACTCCTGCTCGGTGATGCTGTCTGGTGCACTGGTGACCTGGGCGGCGTAGGGCCCGCAGTGTTCCTGGATGCCTTGGTCATGGGGCCTGCTGAGTTCGACATCGGGCCTGCGTTGGGCCGTGGCATCTGCCGCCGGCAATTGCGAGCCAATAACCAACTGGCGGCGTCATGGATTCATGCCTGATATGTCGGGTAGTCTGGCAGCCAGTCAAGTGGGGAAGTCAAACGTGACGCAATCTGGGGTGCTGAAACGTCCGGGACATGTCCAAGCCCGTGGTGAATGGTCAACGGCGAAAAGTCAACAGGGGGATTTCCAGAGTCGCGAGCGACAAGGCCCGGTGGTTGTCTGAAGAAGGTGTCGGTACATGGGTCATAACAGGTGCCCGCAAAGGGGATCAAGACACTGACCCAAGCCCGGACGCAGTGCCTAAACACACTTGATATGAGACGGCAAAACTGACAATGCGCACCACCACGCAGGCACAGGCTGTTTGAAGGTCTCCGGCTGGGCAATGGAGTTTCGGCTTACTGCATGCTCAAACATCTTTCGTGCCACCGACCATCCTCTTCAGGAACGCCATCGGCAGGTGACAGTACTTCATGTTGAGACATCCAGCAAGGTGGCGTTCGACTCCAATAAAGAGAGAAAGGCACGACCGCAAAACCCCTTAGGAACAGGGGGGCCACACACACACGCACACACAGACACACACACACACACACACACACACACACACACACACACACACACACACACACACACACACACACACACACACACACACACACACACAACCCACAACACACACACACACACACACACACACACACACACACACACACACACACACACACAC